GAGTATGAACAGTTGACGATCAACCAATGCCAATCCCTGGTACATACATATATTATTAACATGAAAAGGAATAACTCCACAAAAAATGTTGCCGATAGGTGGCGCAGGAGTTGAGATATTTGGGAAACCACTTCGTTCATATTTAGAAAGCTTGTTTCAAAAATATTTTTCATTGTTAACTTATTGACAAATTAAAATTAACCTTTATTGAATGAAAATGCAAAATTCATTGTCATACAAAAATATGTATTTGCACTCTATACTGAAAAAACGCCATAAATTAAAAAAATCAAGAAGTGTGAAAAATGGCTTTAATAATTTTTTTCCTCCATCCACAGATATAATTAATAACTAAAAATACATAGGTATCTAGTGAATAATAATAGCTTGGCACTTACACAATATGTTAGTGTTTGGCCGAGCTTCTCCTCCGATTTGTGGCGTGCGCCTTGGTTTTGTCACACAAAGGGAAGGAACTTACAGTTTTACACCGACTCCGAACGTCGAATGTATTTTTATGAAAAGCTGTTTTTCATGGCTGAAAATCCTCGGAGGTTTGTAATTTCTTGCTAATAGAAAATATTCTTTCTTTCCTTTTTTTTGATGTTAGTTGTGAATTGGGCTCGGACCCAGGCCCTGCGGAATGGTAGTGGGCATTTCTAACCACTAAACCATAGCCAACCGCAAAATATAATCCATGGATTAAGCTACGAGCGGACGCCGAGTAGTTAGAGGTGCGGACTGCCACTCCATAGGTACTGGATTTGATCACTGGGCCGAGCAACTTCTAAAATTAAAAATTTTTTTATTTAGCAGCATTCGCCTCTCGTAAAATAATTTGCCGTTCGAAGGTAGCTAAAATTGTAGGTCTCTCCATTTGTGTTGTAACATCAGCACGCCCAGACAAATTGGAGGATAAGCTTGGCCAAACACCAAATAGGAAGGATTTGTTTCGGACTTCCGGTAAATGGGCGACATGTTATGATGGGTCTGCGCTGCAAATCTACAAATAGTAGTTTTTCAAATTGTACTTTACTTAAAGCTACATCTAAAAATTCCAAATATTCTCTCTTAGTTTTATACATAATTATAATCATTTCTCTTCTCTCTCCCTCTCTCTACGCCAAAATTTTAACCATTCACTCCGAAACCACTCAGCTGTGCTATCGGCCATACAATGTCCTCTATCCAGTCGATGTACGCTGAAACGCGTGAGTAGATGCTTGGTGGTGCACCGCCACAAGCCTGTCCAAATGAGGTTATACCAATTACATACGAATAGGTGATGTCGCGATCGACTTTCATGATCAGCGGACCGCCAGAGTCGCCCTGGAAAAAAAATTTGTTTTGACATGAAGCGAGAAAAGTCAATTGCGTACTATTTAGAGCACTTTACCTGGCACGTATCGCGACGATTTTCCTGATCACCAGCGCATATCTGTGTGCTGGCCAAACCTTGCTGCAGAATATTCTCATCTGGCATATAGTACCGTATACAAATGTCGTTGGGTACAACAAATAAAGTGGCTTTCTGCAAAACATTGGAGCTGGTGCCAGCTGAAAATCACAGATACAAAAAAAAAAAAACACTAATCACCTCAATTGCGTACAGTACCTTTTAAAAGTGTTCTTACCAAATTGCGTGTGCCCATAACCGAGAGCTGTTACATTGTTATGTGGTACATCGTACTGGTTCCACAAGCAAGCTGGAGTTTCTCTTGAAAAAAAAAATGAATGATAAACAATTGCATAGGTATAAAGTTTGCGAAATTTAGTTATTTATGTATGAAACCTTGATTCCTGTGCCAATTCCAATAATGCAATATCATTATAAGATGCACCGCTCCTATAACCTGGATGCACTATGATTCTCTTAATGGGTATATTTGGTGTTTGCGGATCGGTGATATTAGTGCCGCCCACTCGTACCACTGTAGGCGATTGTCTGGGTAAATTAAATACATATGTATGTAAGTATTTAAATACCAAATGCAGCTTTAAACAATCAAAAAAGGTAGTATTTAGTAGTAGTTCCCTTTAAAAACCTACCCGCCCAAGCCCGTGCAATGCGCTGCTGTCAACACGAATTGCGGCGATATTAATACGCCGGCGCAGTAGAAAAAGGAATTGCCTTTATTATTGTTGGAAAGCCAACCCACAGCAGCCTAAAAAAACGTGATGTTATTAAATAGGCATTTAAATAAAATTTTACGCATATTTTTTTCGCTGTTGAGTAATTACCATGTAGGGAAATTCTTTAGGTGCCGCTGGCTGGCCATTCACCACAGTTGTATGAAATGTACCTTGTTGAGATTCAC